TTCATAGTACTAGAAAAATTCAGACCAACTTTCAGCATGTTGGAGTTTTGAAGACAAAACTTGCATACCTGAAATTTGGTTTGTCTTTACCCCCAGGTAAATAACTTGGGGGAACAAGGTAGTATATCTCTTAGAGAACACTATCAAACTTCTGTTAACTTGAGCCCTTCCTTGCTTGCTTGTCAGTAATAAATGAAAGTAACCTGTAAAAGAGAAAGTAATGACAATGAATAAGAAGAACTTGTGATGCAGGATTAAATTTCAAAAGATGAGAAGAAAAAAAAATATAGAATAGTTTTCCAGGTGGCTAGAGCTCCATAGTATATAGCATTTGTACCAGAAGTGTATAGGGTATGGGGAGGAAATGACAAGAATAATTCAAAATGAATGTAGAATTTAACATTGTTTTATAGTTCCTGTAGTTGCCACAAAGAAGGATCTGTGTTTTGCTCTGAAAAATGTTTCCTATTCTGGAATGAGTAAGTGTGAATATTTTTGTTTTAGTGTCTGAATTTAGCAACTTATCACCAACCACTACTCTTGCAGAAACAATTTTTTTTTTTCCTGTTTTTTATACTGGAAAATAAAAACATGTCTTTTTACTGTATCTAGGTCCTTTCACTTGAAAAGCAAGCAAGATCTCCAGATCATCAACACTCAGCCCAAGTGAAAAGGCCATCTCTTTCCAAAGATGCAAGAAAATCATCCTTTAAGCCTCAGGTTCCTTTCTCACCATCGCCTGATTCAAACAAACCTGTTCCAGCTTCCCCAGTGACTGATAGTGATAAAAAGACTGACACAGCTGAAAAAAATCAGCCTCCCAATGCCAGCCCTCAGTGGACAACAGATCTCAGCCGAAGTTCCTCCAGTCTTCATGCCTCTAACTTCTCTTATTCTCCCAGCCACCTCTCTGTCAAAGAACCCACTCCTAGCATAGCTTCAGACATCTCTCTGCCTATTGCCACGCAGGAGCTACGGCAAAGACTACGGCAGCTTGAAAAGTACAGTGTTAATTCCTTGGTTTTGCAGTACCTCTAAGTTGATGTATAAAAAATGCCTGTGAAGCCAAAGAGTGAGCACTTAGTTTGCCTTTCAGTAATATTTTTACCTGTTACAGCCTGGCATTTGAACATCAGTCATTGTGATTTTTTTCTGTTTCCTCCTAGTACTTCAGACAGATTCTGCAATTAGAAGTTACTTGACCATTGCAATGATCTGCAAGATAAAGTCCACCTTCTTCTTATAGCTACACTGTGTAATGCTAAAAAGAGTGGCCTGGCAAGAGGGAAGGATATTTTTCGATGCAGTGTTAATCACTTACATAGCAATCGTTGCCTGAATCCTATTAGTGTTAATATTAAGCCAGTTAAGCTGAATAAGCTAGTCTTTTTAAGTTACTGAGAGGATAGTTTGCTATGAAGAATGTTAAATGGTTAGTTACTATACAATTAATGAGAACTGCTGCAGCCATACTTTTGTAAATTCTCTAAATTTTTTTTTTATTTGACTCAATGGGCAGCTATACTTAACCAGCAAGGATAGCTCAGCAGCCATTCTGCTCTGAATAGGAGAATGGAAACCATTAATTCCCTGTTCATGTAGCTTCTCTGTGGATCTAAGTAGAAAGATTTTAATTTTTTATTTGTAAGGTACTGAACCAATTCATCTTTTTCTCAGTCAGAGTTCATAGAATTAGTAGAGTAATATAGATTGAAAGGAACCTCTGGAGGTTGTTCAGCCCTCTGCACAAAGCAAATCCCCCTTCAAAGTTAGAAGAGGTTTCTTGGGCCTTGTCCAAACAAGTTTTGAGTGTCCCCAAGGAAGGAAATCCTATAAACTTTCTCAGCAGTTTCAGTGCTTTAACCACTCCTCTGTGAAACATTTTTTTTCCTTATTTCCAATTGGAATTTGTATTGCTGCAACCTGACTGCAGCCTCTTGTTCTTACACTCTGCATGGCCATGATGAGTCTGACTCGGTCTTCTCTAAAATGTCTCCTTTAAGTAGTGAAAGACTGAAATTGAATCTGCTCTTGGCTGTCTCTTCAGGTTGTACAAACCCATTTCTTTTACCATCTGCTTATGTGCTTCACTCCCACATTTATCTTTCTGGTCCTCTGCTGTCTCATCTTCAGTTTGTCAGTCTCCATTCTGGCCCAAAAAGTCTAATTAAATTAGACTTTAATTATGATATGATGTTGAAATACTACTCCTTAGTTAATACACAAATTTCATACTTCCTCATTTGATGAGTGGCAAAGCTACCGCTGAGAAGGTCCCTTATTGCAGGTTGTATGATTTTAGGTGCTCTGATTTTTATTTTAACTAAGAAAATACTGAACTGAAATGCTTCATTCTAGTTTTTAAACCGTATGCTTTCAGAATTTTAAGGGAGCAATCACTTTGTAGTAGCTATTCATTAGAGAGACATACCTCTCCCTTGAATTTAAGATATATCCTTCAGGGGGTTCAGAAATGCCAAGCATGGTGTATACTGCCCTGTGTGAAACAGAAAGCATTCCTAGTCAGTTTAAACAAGCTTGATAGAGATAAAGGAACTCTGCAAATATTGGCCATTCTTTAAAACAGAAATTCTTAAACATGCTGCTTACTTTTTATTTAGGCATGACCTGTATTTCTAAGCCTAAATTGATTCTAATCTCCTTTTCAATGTCACGTGAGCTACAAAAGAGGCTGTGATAATACTGTTATTTGAACTTTTAAGACAAAAGTGGGATTAAGTATCACTATTTTAATCCCAAGGATATCTCTATGTCTATGTTAGAGAATTCAGAAAAGAATGAATTGGTCTCCTAATTGGCTTCTGGCACCAGTTAAGAGCGGCCCACCACTGAGGTTTTCATTGCAGTTTGCACTGTTATTCTTTCCTATTTCCTAGATACTACTTTAATGTTTATTTTACAGTTACCAAGTTCTTTGCTGATAATGGTTTTCAAAGTACTGAAGAGCAGCTGACCTCTAAACGGACAAGAATCCCTATTTTATTTTGGAGAGGAGAGCTTTTTGGATGAGGAACCAAAGTATAGGAAACTGGTGAAGATATGCTTCCATGCCAGCGTGTGCTCTCTTCTTTCACATGGGTCTAGTTAAATGGATAATACATGAATTTTGGGAAAACTACTCTGCATATATCTCAGTTAAATCTTACTTTAAACATATGTTTTAAAAACTAAGCATAATGATCTGCTTTTTCCTGCAGTGGAACAACTCTGGGTCAGTCTCCCTTAGGACAAATTCAGCTAACAATTCGTCATAGTTCACAAAGGAACAAACTGATTGTGGTAGTGCATTCCTGCAGGTGAGCATAAAACGCCAAAATTCATTTCTCTGCATATTTGCTTGTAAATCTTGTCATATCTTGACTTACCATCTTAAATTGGTTGTCTGGATGATCTTTGTTATTTTTAAAATAACGTACTGATAGTAATTATGTGTAAATACAAAAACATACAGAGCTATACTGAGGATCAGTAAAATCTTGCAAGATTTTAATGTGATTTTTTATTTGTCTATTATGCCTCTGTTAAATTTTAGGTGAAAATGACATGTAGATGTTTATCAGCAGTGTCTGAAAGTTATCTCTCAGAGACTGATTTTTTTTCATGGAATGACAAAAATGCATGACTCCTGGAAACCTATCTAAATTTAAATTTAAGAAACATTGTGTTCTCACCTGCTGTCTTCTCACAATTTGTATGATCTTGTACAAGTCATTGCTTGGCATTTTAAAAGTTTTTCTTTTCTCCTGGTGTTACCTATGTGCTGTACCTTGCACATCATACTTTCTGCAGGATTTCCCACAACTGGTTCATGTACTAAATTAAGTGATAGTAGTGTAGACACTTACAGTCGGCAATGTCTCATTTATTTTCTAAGTGTTTTTCCTTGTTTTTCGCTGCCCACAGAAACCTGATAGCGTTTTCAGAAGAAGGATCCGATCCGTATGTGCGAATGTATTTATTGCCTGATAAGAGGCGATCAGGAAGAAGAAAAACACATGTATCAAAGAAGACCTTAAACCCAGTGTTTGATCAAATGTACGTTCTAAGCTCTGTGTAGTAGTTTTATGTCGCATCGTTTCAAAGCTGTCAAATCAAGGTTTCTCAGCTTACCTGAAGGATGAGCTGTTGAAACTCCTAATTGTCACCACCAGACTTGATCATACGTTTCTGCTTTAATGGCTCTTCCCATCCATCTATTCCTTGTTATCACTGTAGACCATATTAGTCTGTTATTTCTTCTCTCTTGTTTTCTGCCTCATCCTGTATCAGTTACATTCCCTTCATGCTGGTAGCTGAGATGCAGTATGCACTCTTCTGGCAAGTGGTCAGAACATAAATGCCTTTTAGCTGTTGCACTTTCTGGCATCCAGGGAGTCGGGGAAATTTTCTTGTAGGTTATACCCTGACCTGTAGGTTGGAAGCTGTGCAAGCTTGTGCAACATTATATTGCATAAAAATCCTTGTTTTTGCACTTGGCTTTTTGATGCTAGTTTCCCCTCACACTTGTACCCTTCCTCCCCAACCCATCACTCAGCAACATAGACGACCTTTCTCTACACACAGAAAGTTCATTTGGGGAAAATAACACTTCTGTCCAAGGGAAATCTGTAAATCATTAGAGGCTCTGGTAGGTTTTCCTGGTATTGCAGCTCTCTCCTGTTTATTCCAGGTAATAGATTTGTTTTTGTGTGCCTTTCCAAGTAAAATCTATTACAAAGCAATAAATCAGTTTAAGAACTGTAGTGACAAATAGAGGCAGATTGTGGATCTTGCCCTTGCTTTCTGTAAATTTCAAATCTAGCAAACAAAATGTATTTTTCCTTAAAAGTTGAGAGGTTTCCTTGGTGTGCCAGGAAAGTAAAAGAGCTCTGGTTATTGAGGATCATGGATCAGTAAGACTGACCAGTCTTTCCCTTTTGGAGAATAGCAATACTGAGCTGTCAGGATAGGAGGATTCCTCATTCTCTTTTATGTAGAGTCAGATCATTTCTTTGTTTTGTTTTATTTTATTTGGAGTTTTTTGTTTGCTTGCTTTGTTTTACCAGTGGCTTCTAGACAATAAATGTAATAGAAATCTCAGGCACTTCAAGTTGATCCAGGGGGTGGTTTGTTTATGATTTGAATTGTTGTATGAACTGAACTTGCATTTGAGGTACAAAATTCTTTCTAAAGGATCATTTTACTTTTCAGATTTGATTTCAGTGTTTCCTTGCCTGAAGTGCAGAGAAGAACGCTAGATGTAGCCGTGAAGAACAGTGGTGGTTTCCTGTCCAAAGATAAAGGGCTGCTTGGCAAAGTAAGTGGACAACAAGCAAATTGTGGTCATAAAGCACATTATTGTATAAGACTAAAATCCTCATGTGATACGAACTTCTTGGCATTGACTGAAGCACCTGATCCAGGTACAAAGCTCTTAAAAATTATAGATGGCTTATATGTCAAGCTTTAGTAGGGAAATAGACAGACATAAAAAGATGAGGTCATCTCTTCTAGGGAATGGCAAATTCTGAGGCTCGCAGTAACAAAAGAAACCTGCATGTCAGACTTAGCAATCATACTCAGAGAAAGAAAATAGCCAGTAGGACACAGGTGATATCTCAGGAAATGTTCAGACAAAACTAGAAAGACAAGCAAGAGTACTTAGAGAAGCACACAGAACAAATGTATATTTAGTAATTAAAATTCCAGATGGCAAAATACATGAGAAAGAGCTGCTACTGGAAGCCTTGTTCCCAGTGCCGAAACCAGCCGAACCAGTGTTCACAGCTTCACTGTTCTCTAGGCACTCATTAAATCACTCTATTTCCTACACGTGATTTGGAGTATACAAAGAGGAGTAGTAAATTCCTACACCTTTGCAAATTGCTCTGTTTGAGCTCTGTAAAGAGGATGAGAGGTGCTATGAATCATGGTCAGTTCATGGTGAACAGTGTTTTTAATTCTCCTGTTTACCAGGAAGGCTATTATCATAAACACATCAGCTGGTTGCCATTGCCACGATATGCCATGTTCAGAGTGTAAGCCTGTGAGCTGCTCTGGGAACATATCATTAAAGGGTTTAGTTGTTTGGGTCTTTTTTTAGGTCAAAAACAGCAACTTGAAACTTTACTACAGGTCAGGCAGATAGCAGATAGCTGTGGTGACAAGGATGCAAAATATATTGTTTATTAATGGTATTACTTGAAGTTTACAAGATTGTCAGATTTTATCTTTAAAAGATATAGAATGCAAGGCACACTTAGTGCATTGATTGCCAATTTAACTTTCCACAGTTATTAATACCTCTGGCATCTGAAGAACTTGCTAAAGGCTGGACCCAGTGGTAAGTATAATACTTCCTTTATTAATAATAATAATACATACAAATAACTAGTGTGTTAATAGTTTCAATAATACATGATAGATGTAAAAAAAATTGTCCTTTTTTTTTTTTCAGGTATGATTTAACAGAAGATGGTACAAGGCCACATGGTGCAAGTTAGGCATGTGGATACTGGGTTTTCCCCATGCATAATTTTGCCAACCTTTATATATTTTTAAAGCGCTGTTCTCACAGATGTACCAATATTATTTTTATAGCTTTACTGATTTAGTTCTTAGACACATCCCAAATAATTTTGTAACACTTGATCATTTTATGTAGACATAGCCTTCCTCATTGTTAAACTTTGTATTTTAATTTGCTAAATAATATTTTGTGTTACTGTAATGTGCAATAGTACAGTAAAGTAACCTTTTGTGTTTAAATTGATCTTTGATGGCTGTACCTATTAGCAAGTGAAAAGATTATGCTCTGTTGGTTTCCTGCCTTGTTTTGTATCTCACCAAGGTATACTGTACTATGTAAATATATACTATTTTTATATAATTCTTTCTTGCTGGTTTGAATTCAGAGGAAAATTAGATAAAGGATATAGATATTTTCTTCTAAATGCATGTTAATTTCTTCAGATGAATCTCTTTTGTCTTTGCAGCACAATGGTCTTAATCATTTTGTGATATTCTTCAAAAACAAAGTGCAGAAAAAACATTTTTACTTTGTGTTTCTGGCCCAGTGTGGCTACCTTAAAAGGCAAAACATTAACATTTTAATATTTATATATAAATGTATTATTGGGAAATCATGCTATAGGATATTATAAACAATAAATGAAAATTCTATAAATATTGTATAGATAGAGGATGAGGCCACAATTTGCAGTTTCTAAATCTGAATTTTCATTTAATGGAGTAAACATAACAAAAAGTACAGTTTTATTCAACAGGTTCACTTGGATTTTGTTATTTATTTCTGTACTCTATAGTACTAGACATGTCACTTTTTGAAGGTATGAGGACATGGATTTTTCTGTTAAAAACAAAATCTCTAACCACTTGGAGCTGTCCTTACTACCATGTTTCACCGATTTATAAGGCATACGAATCAGCTTGCAGTGTAAGTTCATATAGTAGGCATACATGCAAGACTTACTATTTTTTTTTATACAATACTGTGCAAAATAGTATATTATGCTGTACTTTCTGTAATAGTAAAATGGAACACCAATAGATAAGGAAGTGTGAAACAGAGTTGAAACTGACTGACTTTACAGTTGCCTCCTTGCTACTTGGCATGTTTGGTGCATGAAGAAAATGCACTTCAATGGTCCACCCAGGTTTCGTGAGAAATAATAGCATTCTACTGTAAGCCTTGCCATAGTCTGCTGCAAGACTACAGCAGTCATACAATTAGCACAAACTGATAAAAGTAGACAGCTGAGAGTTGAGGGGAGAATATCACCCTAAACAGCTGAGTTCATAATTCTAATTTTATTAATTATGGGGAATTTTTTTAATTCAGAACTGATTTTTCTTTTCCTGTCAGTTTTCTCAGACTGTTATAAAAGTGTGCATTAAGAATCCAAGAGAACAGCTCAACTCTTTCAGAGCAAACACCCTCATTCTGGGATAAGTATGCAATTAGACAAAGTATGTTATTTAGCTAAGATTCTAGAATGATCTTTCAGCCAAGAAAGAATTTTAAAGCAGAATAATAAACTCCTGAAATTAGCTTTATTGTAAGATTACTGACAGAACCTTAATTCTAGATGTAGAATATGCCTACATTACTAGATGTACCAAAGTGCCTACTATAGATGTAGCTTTTTGTCTTTTTCAAGTTTTAAGAGTTGACTCATTTCAGTTTGTCTAAATTCAGTTTAACATGAACATTTACCACAGATGTGTGACACATGCATAGACCTCTATACAGTGATGGCCTTCTTATTGCCACATCTTAGAGAAGACAATTTTAGCAAACAAACTGAGATGATTGTAAATTTTGCTGCTGTTACTTTCTGATGAACTGGGCAATAGAGAGAGGTTCTTTGTAAGAAAACGTTTCCATTTGAAGGCTTCACTCTATATTGGAATGTATGAGTATCTACATATATATATACACTCATCTATTCATATAAAATGTAATATATTATGAAACATTTTCTTTGCTAGTTGTCTATTAAAATGTTAAGAATGGAAAGATAGAGAATTATTGTTAATGCAATGAAAATGCAGAAAGCAAAAGCCTGATCTAAATAAAGGAGGTTGAAGAGCAGCAGTTCAGCATAATTGTGTTTTGCCTTGGTTCAGCCCAAGGTGGAAGGACTTTTGCTGTGCATCTTGGCCAGTGATGCCCCAGAGTTTGATCCATAGCCAGAAAACAGGCTGTTAAACTGATTCAGTGTTTCAAGTCTTAAGTGAAGCCTGCAAACAGATTTTACCCTACTCTGCACTTTTGAAAAGTGCACATTCTGTCTTCTGAAGACTTGAGTGTGTTTGGGTAAATGTGAGATGATAGCAGTAAAATGTAACTGAATGATGTATATAGGACAGGTTTCCAAAATAGCTCACAACCTAAAATAAAGGATAGGTTCTTAAGAGAACCCCATTCCCATTTAGGAATCTAAAATGAAGAGATTGAATTGGCATTGTAATTCAGCCACAGTAATTCCTGTTGACTGTAACTGGTGCTGGATGCCAGACTCTTTAGAAATGTTCTCCTGAATGAATTTGGATTAGGGTATGAAAGCCTAAATGAGACTGATTCTTCTGATAGTGGAAACAAACCTCTGTATCATAGTTACCAAATTGTGATTGTTCTGTTTTTATGGGAAGTAAGAATGACAAACATCATTTTTCCTCTGCACAAAAATTGCACCTCGTCATCAAGCCAACGTATTCAATATCAACCTATAGCTTTTCATGTAGTTCTTGTTTATCCTGTGCCTTAAAGTATGAACATATGAAGAAGTTTAAGAAATGGCTAAAAATAAGCTTTGTTACCTGGATGCACCAACGTATTCTCTACTATTGAAACTGTTTTTAGAATTACTCTGCTTCACTGACAAGAAAACCAGCTTTCTTAATTATAGCAGTGGTCTGTCCCAAACTCAAATCAGCATGCATATCACTTGGATTTGGATTAAAAGAGTTTTCTGTCTTAAATCCTTTATCAGAGCTGCAGCAAATGGTGAGAGTTGAAATGAGAACAAAGGGTAATCAATTTTGTACGGATTGCCTTTTTTGCTCATGTAATTCTACATTATGATGCATGTATTTATTCAATAAATGGTTCATATGGAAGTCAGTGTGCTGCTTCTCTCTACACACACACACTCCCTTTTTCTTTTGCATGTCTCTTCCCCAATTGGTAATACAATGAGGTGAATTTTTAAAATATTCATGGATACTGCCTACCCTAACCTAGTTAGCTTTGCTATAAGGTGTGTAGTCAGGTGTTGGGGGTTTACATGTGGGAAAGTGGAGTGAGAAGTACAGGATACTTAACTGGGGAGTTCTGTGCTTGTTGGTCTGGAACAGATCCACAGGTAAGAATAAATAGGTCTTTTGTTCAACTTAAGTGTCTCAATTCTTTTCCCTTAAAATGATCAATTGAACAAATGGTTACAATTCTAGCAGTTATCAATTGTCATTAACTAAATTTTCAAAAGGATCTAGAACTGCATGTAATTGCCTTAGATTTAGAACCAGCAGATCCGTATGTGTGGCATTCTTTCCTGTCCTTCCCCCTGCTTGGTATGGCAGGCATTGACAGAAAATGCAACTATGTACTGCATAAATAAGAAAAGGGATATTGGATCCCCTATCCACTACAGAAAAACTGCCATAGAAATTATGCTTTTTCCACTAAACATAAACTTACAATTAATTACAATACTGTAGTTAATTATGATACCTCTTCCCTTAAACAGCTACAATTTGTCTGAATTCCTAATAGTAAATAAAAGCTATAGAAGTTTATCACTCAATCACTATTGCATTTAGAAGTTGACCCAAATGGATGTTTATTGGCACTAACTACAAAATTATATTCTGTTTTGTTTTTTCTTCCTTTATTTAGCAGAATCAAGGGCTTCTGCTAAACAATGGGAAGGCAGCTAATGCCAGGTAAAGCCTGCCCATTCTCATAGCTCCCTCATGGCAAGGGTTTTCAGCACACTTCCTAGCAGTGCCAGTACTGATCAGGTGCCTGCATTTTCCAGACTGGGATCAAATCCAAACTTTCCCTTCAGTCCCACAAGACAGGTGGTAACTGGATCAGCACCTGCAAAAGAAAGCTGCCTGAGTTTCACAAGGTCTTGTTAGAGAGTAGGAATAATGGTGCAAGACAGTCCTCCAGATGGATGTGGTATTCACTTGATGGGCTCAGCCAGTCCTAGACGACTTCTTACTATTTGCTCTACTGTTTAATTTGGTTTTGGCTGTCGTTTAGTTCATCCAGTCTCCAGCTGGGAGCAGTGCTTGCCAATACAGTTACCAATACGGCTATTTTAGGTATTTTCTCAGCTAAGAGCTGAATAGAAAAATGGTTTCCTATGTGGTTTCTGCTTTAATCAGTTTAATCATTTACATATTCCCCCAAACAAACTGAATGTTGAATGGTATTGTTCATATTTGGTAGAAAGAACCAAAAGTTCAGATGGTCTCAGACCTATTTGTGGATGTAGCTGGTTGCTGAAGGAATCAGGCTATCTAGTCACAAATGAGGCTATTTAATCACAAATGGTGTTTTTATATATCCTAATGAAGTGTCTAATTTTGTCATTGTATCCTCTCCTACTGATTTCTAAGCCTGTCAGGCTCTCAACAATATTCTCAGCCACCTTCTGAAATACATTATTTGAAAAATGCAAAGCAGCTGAAGAAAAAAAAACACTTGTATTTCTTTCAGTGTTACGCTGCAAATTTAGCTGCCAGATTAGATGGCAGCTCTGGGAGGAAGGTCCTCTCATCTGTATTCATGTGATGGAGGTGATGCTCTCTGTTCTCACCATCTGCAGGGAATATTGCTTGCCAGTCACTTACAGTGGAATCCAGTTTGAGCTGACTACTGCATATCTGTTTCCTCAGATGCTACCAAAGTGAAGCCAACCTGTTTTTCCCTGCTGCTTCGAGTCCTCAGTAGCTTTAAATTTTATTGCAATGAAATCAAGGGCTAATAGTGACCACTCTTCCCTTTAACAACCTTATGGAAACAGGTTCAAGGATGGACAAAGCTGGGCAAGGCTCCAGGCCTTGACACCCTGGCTATGGTAGGGGTGGTTCTTGGCTTGGGGACAGCAGAGTCTGTTCCTTCCAGAATTTGATAATCCGACTGCCTTCAGAGCCAAGCACCTCACCTCAGAGCAAGAAATGACGTGCAGAAGAAGTTGTGGCATCCCAACACCCCAGTTGTCCTTGATTTCATTCATCAGGTGTGTGGTAACAATCTGTCGTGACACTGATGATCAATTTTACTTACTCATTATGTTAGCAGGGTAGTTCCTGTCAGTTGGAGGTTAACAGATGACCCCTTGAGGTACCTTCCACCCTGAATCATTCTATGGCTCTCACAAATATTTTTTCAAACGTTGAAGTAAGAGCCTGTGCAGAAGGACTATCTGGGTA